TCTGACTCCTTTCACTGAGCATGGGTCCCCCCGTGAAGGCCATCTGACCAAGGCAGAGGCCCCAGTGGACCCAAGGTTGCCCTGCAACTGGAGAAACTGTTTTTGTTTTGTTTTGTTTTGTTTTAAAGATTTATTTATTTTTAGAGAGCGGGGATATAAGGGAGAGAAAGAGGGAGAGAAGCATCAATGTGATACATGTACCCAACACAGGAGCACCCAAATATAGAAGAAAAATCTCAGAGGACTTCAAGAAAGACATAGACAGCAGCACATTTATAGTAGGTGGTTTGAACACCCCACTGTCAAGAATGGACAGATCTTCCAAACAAAACATCAACAAGAAGATTGTGGAACTGAATGACGTATTAGATCAAATGGATTGAGCTGCTATATAAAGATCTTTTCACTCCAGAGAAGCAAATACACATTCTTTTCAAATGCACATGGAATATTTTCGAGGATAGACCACATGATAGGACACAAAGCAAGCCTTAACAAATTCAAGAAGATTGCAATCATATCAAGCACGTTTTTGGATCACAAGGGCTTGAAACCAGAAACCAACCTCAAGGAAAAAAACTTAAAAACACTCAAACTCATGGAGACTGAATGGCATTTTATTAAACAATGAATGAATTAATAATGCGATCAAGAGATAAATCAAAAAGTTTCTGGAAACAATGAAAATGAACAGAGAACAGTCCAAACTTATGGGACACAGAGAAGGCAGTTCTGAGAGGGAAGTTCATAGCACTAGAGGCCTATGTAAAAAAGATAGAAACATTTCAACTAAACGACCTAACCCTACATCTACAAGAACTAAAGGAACAACAACAAACAAAGCCGAGAACAAGTAGAAGGAAGGAAATAATCAAAATCAGAGGAGAATTAAATGACACAGAGACTAAAGGAACAATGCAAAGGATCAATAAACCCAAGAGCTGGTTCTTTGAAAACATAAAGTGGACACCCCTTAAACAGACTCAACAAGAAAAGAGGGAGAGGACCCCCAAAAATAAAATCAGAAATGAAAGAGGAGAAATGACAACTGAAAGCACATAAATGCAAAGGATTGTAAGAAATTACTATGAA